GCCGGAAGTGTGCGTTGTAACGTTTTCCCGGCTTCAAGCTGAGGGTAAAACTCCTCGGTTTTGTGTGTGTGTGTGCGTGCGTATTTACATCATTGTGTGAAGGGGTGTGTGAGTGTGTAAGAGCGCGCGCGCGGGGTGCTTCCTGCCTCTTTCAAAACGAGGCCCGGCCCTTCCGAAGCCCTTTTTCCTTTGGGCCTCGAATAGGGCCTTTACTCGAGGGGCCTGTCCGGTTTTTGGCCCCCTCGCTTATCTGACGACCCTGCTTCCTTTCTCCTTTTCACTAGCCGGCCTCGACATGCTGGTGTCTCGGCTGACGGCTTCCCTCGTGAGGACATCGCGCTGTGCAGGTAAAGGGCGGCCTTTGCTAGGGATGGAGGGTGGGTGATGGCCAGGCGTTGAAATATTTTAGGAAATATTAAAAAGGCAGAATACTTCCCCCAAAAGAGAAATAGAAATCTTAAGGGACATAGAAACAGCCCCGGCAGATATTTTGGTGCCAGCTTATCTACAAGACAAAAGACGTTCAGCTCCAGGGTGATAGGATTAGCCCTCCTCACTCAAAACCCAATCTCACAATCAGAAGGCTGTGAGTTCGCTCCTAGGTAGAGGCAGATATTTTTCTGGGCACACTGAGAATATATCTGCTGAACCAAACTCCGCATTGGCGACAGGAAGGGCATCCGGCCATTCAACGCTTTGCTATCTCCAATCAGTTGCCCAGACTCCACCCCGCAAGGGATTATGGGGTCATTAAATGATGATGATGATGAATGTTTTAATGCAAGCCAGCCAGAGGCTCCTCTTGGCTCATGAGCAGCCAAGAAATAAACAGGAGTTTATTCTCACATTCTCACAAATACCTATTTACAAATTTCTTTCCCACTTTGCCCATAGGGTGCTTTCTTTTGAGACCATCTGTTGTCCTCCCACCTCCTAGAGCAACTGTTGTGGCAAGTTACAGCACACATCCGTCAAGCAAAAATGGAACCCGGCCTCATCAGTGGTTTACATTTGACCCTGAACTGGAAGAAATGCTGGTGCCTCGCAAGATGTCCATCTCACCTCTGGAAAGCTGGCTGACAGTTCAGTATTTCCTCCCTAAAAATGGAGGCATCATAAACGTTCATGAGAGGAACGCTCCCCGGCCGTTTCAACAGTACGATCTCCCTGCTCCTTCCAGGGGCACCGAGGCAGAGGAAGAAGAAGAGGCAGAGCAAAAAGGGGAGAGGAACCTGCCCAGAATGGAATGCAGAAACATTTTGAAGATCCGGCGGAGGAAGATGAATAGGCACAAGTACAAGAAGCTGATGAAACGTACAAAATTTTTACGGAGAAAAGTCTTGGAAAGACGGATGTGGCAGAAACAGGTGAGTTGGGCAGGTAATGCCCCTCGACCTCTAGGGGAAGAGTGTGAGAAGCAGACTTGCCAGTCACAAATTTAACAAGAGTCATAAAGTGAAGCAGCAAGCAGTTTATTGCATGTAAAATATGTTCTTGCAAGAGCAGGTGGCTAACAGGTAGGCACACCTAGGAATCAAATAGTCCTTGACTTACAGTGATCTGTTTACTGACCAAAAGTTACAGTGGCACTGAAAAAAGTGACATGACCATTTTTCACGTTACAGCAACCCTAGTCATATGAATTAGTTGTTCTATCCAAGTGATACAAAATTGTAACCTAAGCTCAGACTATGTGCTGTGAATTCTGTAGTTTAGAGCATCATTCCCAAGTTGGACTTTCATTTTCTGTTTTTCTTTTCTTTATAGAAAAAGTTTGAATATGAACTGAAAAGGATGTGGAAAAAAGCCGGCTTAAAAAAAACCCCAGAGGGATGGGTAACCCCGAAGATTTATCTCAGAAATGTGAAATCCTGATAACTGCTTTGAGTAGAAATGTCTTTAATTAAAAACATTATTTAAAAGGCAAAAGTAATTGTAAAAATTCTGCCATGATTTTTAGAAAAGGTACAGAGGGAAATACAGGAATGGCTTGCCTTGTGCGTGCCAGTTCTTAATTCTTTATGCCATCAGGAAATACCAAGTATCAAATTATTTTTCCTCAAACGCTTTGGGAATGAGAGAAAATAACTAGGTCTCTCCCAGACAATAACCTGCAGTGACACCATAATAATGCAAGAAAAAGAGTGTTTCAGTGCTTCTTAAAACTGATTTTTCTGCTTCCAGCTGGTCTTTCTTGAATTAAAACCTAAAAATGTTGACAATTGGGCATAGCCAACCTCTGTCTCCAGTTTGTGCCATGTGAATTCACTCTCTGTGGCCACAATTATTCTATTTATGCAACCTGTTTAAGGTGCCATCCTCCGCATGAAATGGAAATTTTCAGCTGATCCTTCAGGGCATTGTCTTGCTGTAGAAAGAGTGCAGAGAAGAGCAACCAGGGGACTGGAGGATAAAACATACGATGAACGGTTGCAAGAACTGGGCCTGGCTAGTCTAGGGAAGAAGAGAAGGACCAGGGGAGACAGGATAGCAGGCTTCCAGTATTTGAGGGGCTGCCCCAGAGGAGGAGGGGGTCAAGCTATTTTCCAAAGCACCCAAAGGCCAGACAAGGAATAATGGAAACTGACCAAGGAGAGATTCAACCTGGAAATAAGGAGATATTTGATGAGAGGGAGAACAATCAACCCATGGAACAGAAGTTGCCTTCGGAAGTTGTGGGAGCTTCATCCCTGGAGGCTTTCAAGAAGAGACTGGACTGCCCTGTCAGAAATGGTGTAGGGTCTGCTTGGGTGGGGGGTTGGACTAGATGACCTACAAGGTCCCTTCCAACTCTGTTAATCCGTATCTGTATCTGCTCTCCTCTTTTTTTTCCTGTCCCAGTTTTGAGAAGTGTTAGATTGTAAAGGTTGAGGGTGACCTCTGCCAAAAGAGGAGAAGGCCAAGGCTTGGTGCAGGAAACCCCACTGGGAATGCGGGGACCAGGTTTTCTCACCCAACCAGGCCAGCTTTGAAGATCAGTTGCAGGGGTTTTTATTTAGGGGGGGTGGGGAATATATTTTGGGTTACTTTTTAAGAGTTTTGGGGCCAGGTATCAAAACGGCCAGGAACGCTAATTGCAAAAATGCATCACAGGATCTTCCCCTCGTGTTGCACATGCCTTAATATTTGGGACTACAAGCTCTCTGCTGATCTTTTGGTACTCTGGTTGCAAAAGCCTTCTCTCCCCATTTTCCCCACCCACCCACACTTTATGGGTGACTCCTGCTGGGGGGTGCGGGCCCAGCTCCGGATCTTCTGCCCCAGCCTCGAAGTCGACCCCGTTCCTCTCCGAGCAATTGCCATCTGCAGAAAAGCAAAGCAACGCTCCTGGCAAGCGGAGCATCCGGCGGCGTCGCTTTCTCTTTGTGCGCGTGCGCGAGGCTCCGGCCGAGCGGCACCAGCGCCGCCTACCGTTCCGAAGCTGCGTTTCCATTTCTGAGACGCACGCACGCACGCACGCGCCCGCCCCTCCTCGGTTGGCGCGCTGTGAGCGCCTCCGCCTTGGCACGCGCAGGCGCAGTCGCTGCCTGTGGCCTGAGCGCGCGCTTTGGTTTGGGTAATTCAGCGTCTGAGGGGATTTATTATTATTATTATTATTTGCGTTTTTTTGTGGGGTTTTTTTTGCGTGTGGGGTGGTGGTTGTTTTTAAGGCTATAAAATTTTGGGGCGTCCTTTTTTTGAGCCATGATTTTTTTCCAGAGGGGGAAAAAAAAAAAGTATGTGCCCCGTTCTGTTAAACATTTCCAACATTTTGGGGATTGATTTTTATACATCTTAGCCAGCCTGGCTGGTGAGAGATGCCATCGGTAAAACATTTTAAATAAATTCTCCTTATATGCTGTGGCAAGAGTAATCTTTTTATCCCTTTCCCATAATATTGGCCATTTATCCCGTTTTATATTACACCCATGTCACCATCGTCTCTTTTACTTGTTCTTCCTCCAGTTTATATGCCAATAAAAATCTATAGGTTTTCCTTAGGAATTTGTCCTCTGGCCCCAAGAGAATTTTGTCTAATACCATTTCTTGGCCAGTGAGACAATAAGCCAATCTTAATGGCCCTTGCTTTGAGGCCTATTGTGGACTTCAACTCCCAGAATCCCTGAGCTAGCATGACTGGAGGAGGAATTCTGGGAGTTGAAGTCCAGGCGCCTTAAAGCTGTCAAGTTTGAAGACCCCCGGACTAAGGGATGTTTATTAAGGTTTAGCTGAGGGGATTAGCAGGAGAAAGACAACATTTACAAGCAGTGGCCACTGCAAAAGTCTCATGGAGAGGCTGGCTATAACAAAATCTGAACTGTAAGCCACCCAGAATCGTTGATTGAGATAGGTGGCTATAGAAATTGAATGCATAAATAAATATACAAAATTCACCGACTGGAGTTTAAACGCCAAGGAGTTTAAAGGAGATTGGAGTTTAAACGCCACATTGCACTGGGATGGCTTGGATTTTTTTTTGTTTTCAAGTGTGAAATAGCTAAATGGACTTTTTAATAGTAATAGCAGGAAAAAGGGAAGTATTTTGATAAGATTTAGGAGAATGTCATTCTCCGGCTGGAAAACTACATCGTATAAAGAATGACTCCCGTTTTTTGGACCAAAGCATCCCTAATCGTCAATGGGAGTTTTTATCCCAGGAAGTAGCTGCCTGAGTCAGCTGAGTCCTGCATATAAAAGCTGTGGAGTACCAGTTAGGACGGGTTAGAGTTGGTGTACCTAAGCCAGTTTTTGTGCCTGAAGATGTCCCCTTCTGATCTTGACTCCAAAAAGCTGAGCTTTTGGGCTTCCACCACTTCTCAGGAGGCTACTGCTGTTTTCGTGGTCAATGGATGGTGGGTTGACTGGCTGGAACAAAACACGACTTGACCGATTCTCTCTTCAACCCAAGGGACCTTCAAAGGTAAGCCCTTGTTAGCATTTTGGGAAAACAGAGGCAGTAGTTCTTCGGGGTGGAGATAGTCATTAAATTCTTTCAATTTAGTATGGATGCAGTTTCCCAAGATCAAAATATCTTTATTCCTTCTTTATTCAGCCATCATTTATATACTGGATTCTATAAGTATTTATCCAATTCTATCTAGATGAAAGTGGCATTGTTTACGGATGGAATGATAACGTTGCATAGACAGAAAGGATAAATGTTACTCTTTGGTTAGCTTTTATAAGCAGACAGTACTGCGTAGACAATACTTTTTTTTTGTTGGGCAAATAGTTATTTTCATTTCCTTAATATTTTTATTTAATCAAATCTTTCATTTCTCTGAATGTTAAATGCAGAAATACACTCACCCACTCACATCTACGTGTGAAAAGTTCATGGATTGCTTGCATTATTTAACATTAGGCAGGGTTTAAACTGCTGGGAACAGTAGGGGGAGCCCCCACACAAGGAATTTCTAAGCGAAAGGCTGTCAGACCTTCTGAGCTGGGCTGCAGAAGAAGTTCTATTAATTCCTGGCGAATGCATGGATATCTACACAAAATGTTATTTTAAGATTAGCCAAGCAAGGGTGGCTTGGCTTTTGTCACACAAGGATGAGCCCATCCTCAGCTAACCTTACAGCTTCCAAGAAAATATCACACAAGTCTTTCTGTCTGTTGCCATTATATAAGGCCCAATTCTCTTGTAATAGTTATACAAATGCTTAAGTTTGCAACCATTCTTCACATGGTGAGCGCACTCGGAACAATGTATTTTTCCCTCCCTGTAAAGCTGGGGAATTTGGGCAACGTATAGAAATTATTTTATTCCCTCTTGTAATATATTTGGAGATTTGGAATGTAGTTGTCTTGACTTTAATCCAGCATTTTTCAGTCTTGGCAACTTTAAGATGTGTGGTGGACTTGGAACTCCAAGAATTCTCCAGCCATCAGGCATTGCTATAATCTTTTAAATTGCTTGCACAAGTGTTGTAGAGAAACTGAACTGTAGATATTCTTACATTTTGCTGATCACTTTTGTACTGGATATTCCCCCCACCCCACCCTCCACTTTTCCCCCTTACACGCGCCTGATGTACAAAACAGCCTCTCAACAAAATAAACAGATGGATTCCGTTTGTCAACTCTTGGCTGGAAATTTACAAACAGCCCAAGAGTTCCAATTGCTCGATAATCTGTTAATAGAACAAAAGGCATTTAGATTGGTGACCTTTTAAAAACTACTCATAATATATTATGATAATTCTCTAAGAAATATCTGCTGCCCTTTTCATTAAATTTTTTGAATATGTTTAACGCAGTCTGATAGGTGGGCATAGAACTCACATTTACTAGAATAGCAATTGCAGCTTTCTGTGCTTAGATCTAACTAAACCTTCCACCAAACAGCCCTCTATGAAATTAGCAGAGAATCCAGTTTTTATGAATGTATGGAGTCTTTTCCAAGCATGTATTTAAAGCTGTTATCAATCCTAAAATAGCGCCTTAGGGTGACTAGCCTTAGAAGAATCAATAATTAAAAGAAAAGACAGGGAGGTCTTTTCATCTTACTGAAGAATATGATAGGAATAGTTAAATAGGTAAAGGCAGAGCAATCGGGTTTTTTAGATGGCTAAAGTGGGATTGTTTTTATCAAGAAAGTGTCCAATTTTCTCATCTTAAACGTCTATACAATTTGTAACAATTGTAAGAGGGTTTTCTTAGAAAAATGCCACAGTGTAACTGATTTGACATGGAATATTGCTTTTTTGATAAACTGCAACCATTCTTGAAATTCATTTCTCCTAGTGAGGGCATATCAGCAGCACAATGGACTTGGATCACTCCATTGTCCTCTTAAAACCTAATCCTAATTTTGCTGGGCATCATTTCAGCAGGAACTGAATTTTGATGAGAACATCAGCAAAAGGAATGTTCTTGCAGGAATAATTTTTCTATTTCCTGTCCAAAGACACCAAGAAAGCTATCAGCTGTTTGTAAACCTTCTGCCACCATTTATGTTGAATGCATAAGCTTAAAGTTTTACTGACTTACCCCAACCCTCAGATCGTTTCTGAGACCCCCCTAGGGTACATATACACTGGTTGGGGTTGATTGCTTTAAAGCATGTGGTAGCTGGCAGTAAAGGATAAGGGAATTAACACGGTCATCTCCAGCTCTGCCAAGAATTGACTTTTCTCCTTTAAGTATTTCTATTTATGCCAATTGACTTCCAGATAATGGTAACATGCCTACATTTACATTTTTCATCCTCTCTTGATACTTT